TCCGACGGAACACGATGACAAGGTAAGTTCATCGCTTGTTTATCATCACTCCATCACTCCATCCCCCATCCCTCCCTCCCTTCCTCCCTCCCTCCTTTTTTTTTTTTTTTTTTTTTTTTTTTCCTTCTTTTCTTTTCTTTTTTGTTTGCATTTTTCTTTCTCTCTCTTTCCCTATTTTCTTTTCCTTTTATCATTCTTTCCTTCCTTCCTTCTTTATTTTTTCCTTCCTTCCTTCCTTCCTTCTTTTTTCTTTTTAAGTTTCTCTTTACACTTCTCTATCCTTCTTTCATTCCAAGTTTTACACTTCTCTATCTTTCTTTTATTCCTAGTTTCCTTCGGTCCTTCCTCCACCTTCTTTCTTTCTCACCTATCATGTCTTAAATCCTTTCTTTCTTAATGTACGAAAACTGTAATAAAAAAATTCAAAAAGCCTTCTACATGAGACAAGAGTTTCATCACTTAAAAACTAAAGAACCTCAACTGGTTTCCGTTAAGTTTTTATTTCCAAGAGAGACGTTCTCTTTCTGTCAACGGTTCCGCCATGGCGCCTATAAGGCTAGAGGATTCATAGTAAGTGATTTTATAGAGAGCTTTTAGGACGTTGGGCCACAATCTTTGCCCGCCTTAGTCGTAAGCCGACGAACCGCAATCAGTCAGTCTTTTCATAACAACTTTTATCCATAATAATTTGAAGAAAAGACAGCGAATTCACCGAGTCTTGCAGATAGGAAAAACGAAAAAATAAAAACAAAAGACATGAAAAGACATGGGTATTATTTGTTCATTAGTTATGCGTTTCCTTTCACTCTTAAAAAAACGATTCAATATTAAATCAGTTTTGCACTGGTGAAAGCACATGGTGGTGCTGAAACATCTCTGCAAAACTGAAATCTGTTTTTTTAATAATTTAAACGCTTCTGCTTTTAAAACCTTTTTATTAGTAAGATTTTGTAGATAAGCAGATACTATAGAATAGAAGACCTTAGTGTACCAAGAAAAAAAACTATCTAAGGTTGTTTTTTTTATGCCCACTTATTTATTCCTTAGTTTTACAATATTATTTTCCGTAGAATATTTTAATTGTTTTAAAACTATCAGACTGAACTTGAGTAATTGTACACCCATCTATTGCTATGTTGCCTTGTAGGTCCATGAATCGCGTGCATGAGAAGGGCGACGTTTGTTACCACGGATCTGAGGTTACTGTACAAAATCAAAGAAAATTTATGTCGAACGAACGTTGAAAAATTTCAAGAAATCTCTAAAGTCACAGTATATTTCTGTCTTCACTGCTAACTCATGAAGTTGAAAGTCACACCCATCTGGTAATTGACAGGATATATTTAAAAAATTAACGACATTGAAGATTTAGTCACCTCTAAGGAAAATTAAAGTAAATCTCGTGGGAGAATATTTGTGTGATTTAATTAAAGTGCCTTTTTTAAAACACGATGTGTCTTTCCTCTGTGAATTCCAGCCTCAAGAAATATATTACTAATTTACAAAATACCGGGCACTTTTTATGTGGTTGTCCAAACGAATGCCTTCTCTGCGACAGGAGAACTTGCGAACATCATAAAATCATAACACGAACAAAATCGAAAAAATAGATATTCATAGAACATTGGTGGATCATTCGAAACCTGAGCCAGCTATGAGATCACGTGGTCATCGTATACTGTTTGATGACATTTCAGGCTACCGTACTCATACAAATAGCATTGAATTGTTATTTTCGTCTGTTGGGTTATATCTGGCAGGAAAGGCATTTGGGAAGTCAATAAAAAAATGTAGTCCGCAAGTTTTATATTTTATTAACGACATACTCGATGGCTTGATACATTATAATCAATTTTTTGTCAGGTCTTAACACTTGCGATACATGCAGATATTAAAGACAACATCTACATGTTGAGTGAGACGACTTGCACTAACAGGTCACGTGACCCTACCTCCCTTAAAACGAGCAGCTGTATGAAAAAGCAACTCAACATTAGTAAGAGCACAAAGTTTCAGCTCATATGTTGACTATAGGAGAAATGACATTAAATACGAAATCGAACATTTTATAAGGATTTGTATGGAAAACGTGTTGGCTGGCAGCTTCTTGTTATCCTGCGTATTTTCGCCATACAAATCTAAACATCGGGGATTTTGAAAATGAAGAAACGGAAAAGAGAAGAGAAGAAGCAATAAGAAAAATAAAGAAGTGGAGAAGAAGGAATGAATGAATGGTGATTGAGCACTAAACATCGGGGATAGTTGAAAATAAAGAAATGAAAAAGAAAAAAAAAAAGAGAAGAAGTAATAAGAAAAATAAAGAAGTGGAGAAGAAGGAATGAATAAATGAAGATTGAGCACTAAACATCGGGGATAGTTGAAAATAAAGAAATGAAAAAAAAAGAAAGAGAAGAAGTAATAAGAAAAATAAAGAAGTGGAGAAGAAGGAATGAATGAATGAAAATTGAGCACTAAACATCGCGGATTTTGAATATAAAGAAATGAAAATAGAAGAGAAGAAATAAAAAATAAGAAAATTAAAGAAGTGGAGAAAAATGAAATAAATTAAAATAAAATAAAATAATCAAGTTAAATAGAAAAATAAAATAAAAAGAAAGAGAACAAAGCAAAAGAGAGATAAAAGAAAAAAGAAAAAACCAGAGAAAGAAACTAAGGGGACGATTAAAAGCCTTTGAAAAAAATCTAGAGTTCTCTAAGAAGAGTGATACCTTTACAATTGCCACTGTAGAACTTAGAAGAATTTCTTTAATGTGCTCTCAATATTAGATAAATGCTCTACGTGTTTTAAGGAAAGCATTAGTATCTAAAACTAATGAATTTATTTGTTTTAGGTAGCGTCTGTTACACTCTTTATGAGATTAATACTGAAGCAAAAGCAAGACTTCTCAATACAAAAGTAATACCAAAAACATATATACTTTGCAATACGAAAAAAATTCAGCGGAAATTGCAAATTTTAATAATTCAGTAATGATAAAAGGGTAAATTTTACGCCGTAAAAAGATTTAAAAAATTTACTTAGTAATATTAGTAAGTTTTTTCATCTTTTCGCGGTGTAAAATTTACCCTTTTATCATTACTGTTTCATTAGAAACACCGACGCAGCTCATACTAGTTTTTAGCTAGTTATATCTTCTTAATAATTCATTAGTTGAGTTCTCTCACAAAGTAACTTGTTAGTTTAGTTCTTTTACAAATAAAAAAATAATTGTCAAGGCCGAAAGGTGCCCGCGGAAATGACAGCAAACAATGCATGGATTATTAATGACTTTAGTTCCCAGGCTTTTCGCGCGTTCATTACTGTCCGTTTTGTTTTTGCTGGGCAGAAGTTTGGATTTTTTTTTTTTTTTTTATTTTGATGCTCCGCTGATTGGATGGCATTGCGGACACAACCGAACATTTACAAGCAAAACTTGTTCATTATCTACAGTAACACTAGCAGTCTGAAAATCTGATCAACTTGTCATCGATCAATGAAACTTGTCAACCATACTTGTCAGGAAAAACTTTGTCTACCAGCCGGCTTGAAAATTCAAAATATTTTTCGTTTATTGATTTGGAGAAGCACGTTTAGTTTACCTTGACGAAAAATATCCACGGCCATAATTAATTTTCAGCCATATTTGTTTTTCTGGACGCGCGTACTGCGCGTGCTCTACCCTGTTTGCTCATTTGGTTATTAAAAAAGAAACTCGAGCAAACAGCGCCATGTTGCGCATTATGCGCGTACAGAAAACAAACGATCAAATGAATGATTCTAAGAACAGCATGCCAGAGATTCCTTCTTTTAGTCATTTTTTTTTCTTGAAAAAAGTCAAATTATAGTTTTCTAAAACATGAAAAGTCGAGTTCATAGCATTCATTATTGATCTTTATTTGTTATTTTCTGCGTGTATGACGTCACGAATAATAGTCTTACGTAGTTACATCTTTGAAAATACTCGTGTTTAAAATGGACGAATTTGGCAGAAACTCCACCAGTATTATAATGTATCTTCTAATTTTCCTCTCATTCCGACATGAAAATAACAAAAAAAATTAGCATTTTGACTTGTCAAAAATGAT